GGGCGGGGCTTTATCGGATTTCCCGAAAGGCGTACCGATGAGCGCCCCGCGCAGCCTCGGCCCAGCCTTTTGTCGCTGCTGCTGGGCTGCGTTATTTGCGAGCTATTTCCGTCCGGCCTGAAAAGACAAGACAAGCCGTGAGTTATGGTGCTCTTGCACGGCGGCCGTTGCGCTTGCCTCCATTTTAAACTCGTAAGCGCTGGTGTTTCAGGGTTCGGGGTAACCCGGCCCTTGGAGCTGCTGACCTGGTGCAGCTTTCACTGGCACTCTTTCACTTTATAATTATTTTATTTTTTGCCGCAGGCACCTACCTCAGCAGCTTCCTGCAAAATGCGCTCAAGAGCAACCAGGTGGAGATCAACACGGACAGCCGCACGCTGCGGCCCGTGGCCAAGCTGCGCGAGCCGCGCGACCCGCTGGCCAACCTGCGGGACGCGGCCGCGGACGGGCCGCCCGCCGGGCCGCGCTGGCCCGCCGAGTGCCAGGTGCTGGAGGAGCGCGTGCAGCACATCGAGGTGCCGCCCGCCGTGCCCGAGCAGTACTACTCGCCCACGGGCCGCGAGGTGCAGCCGCAGCCCGTCGGCGAGGAGGTCGGCCAGGTCGTCTTCCAGTACTACCCCGTGAGCGCCGTCAATTACGTAAGTCGGTTTCGTTAGCCTTTTCCTTTTCTCAAGGGTTGGTCCACTCAGATTTTCGGTGTTCTTGGTATATCTGGAATATTTTTCGAATACCTGGAATTTCTGGAAAAAATTGGAACATTTTTGGACTATCTGGAGTAGTTTTGGAACATTTTTGGAATATTTTTCTGTGTGAACATGGAATATCCAAGTGATCCACCTCTCACCTTTTCTAGTTCAGCCGGTCGAGCGTGGGCGGGAGCCGGATCCTGACGCCGCCCTGCCCGGCGGACCTGCGCGCCGACGACCTGCGCTTCGAGTCGCGCTTCGAGTCGGGCAACCTGGCCAAGGCGGTGCGCATCACCGAGACGTACTACGAGCTGCACCTCCGCACCGACCTGTACACGCACCGGCACATGCAGTGGTTCTACTTCCGCGTGGAGAACATGCGCCGGCGCGCCGTGTACCGCTTCTCCATCGTGAACCTCTCCAAGGCCGAGAGCCTCTACACGTGCGGCATGCGGCCGCTGCTCTACTCGGAGCGGGACGCGGCGCTGAACCGCGCCGGCTGGCGGCGCTGCGGCGACAACATCGCCTACTTCCGCAACGAGGAGGCGACGCCCAACGAGGACCAGGCGCCCAGCTACACGCTCAGCTTCAACGTCGACTTCCCGCACGACAACGACACCTGCTACCTCGCGCACTGCTACCCCTACACCTACTCGGACCTCCAGGATTACCTCCTCAAGCTGCAGGTGAGGGTGATAGTTCGATCGCAAACACAAAACAATAAATAACGTTTATGACTTTTACACTAAAATGTAAAACAAAATAACTCTATCGCAGAATCACCCAGTGAAGTCCACATTTAGTAAACTGCGGCTGTTGTGCCGCTCCCTGGCCGGCAACAACGTGTACTACCTGACCATCACCACACCGCCGCCGCCGCCGGCCACCACCGCGCCATCCAGCCCCAACGGCGGCACCTGCAACAACAACAACTGCACCAGCAACGCCAACAACGTCAACAACAACGTCAACAACAACAACGCCAACATTCCTCAGGGCAGCCCGACGCGGTGCGCGGCCTGTGCGGCCTGCACCCCTGCACCGCCACCCCCGGAGGAGCCCAAGGTACCCCTCGCCCACACCCACACCATGCCCACACCCCTCTGAATACTTATGGTGCTCACCTCCTCCACCCCGTGCTTGCGTTGCAGAAGAAGAAGGCCGTGGTGCTGACGGCCAGGGTGCACCCCGGGGAGACGCCGTCCTCCTGGATGATGAAGGGTTTCATGGACTTCCTGACGGGCAACAGCAACCAGGCCAAGGAGCTCCGCGACAAGTTCATCTTCAAGCTCGTCCCGATGCTCAACCCGGACGGCGTCATCGTCGGCAACAACCGGTGCTCGCTGACGGGGCGCGACCTGAACCGGCAGTACCGGACCGTCATCCGGGAGACGTACCCGCCCGTGTGGCACACCAAGCTCATGATCCGCAGGTACGTGGACGCACAGGTAGACCAGCAGCTTCGTCACCACACCAACAACGGGACAGCCAAGGGCTTCGTTAGGCTCAGAAAAGCTTGACCATTTCCCCTCTGTTTACACGTGCAGACTAATGGAGGAGTGCGGTGTCGTGATGTACTGCGACCTGCACGCGCACTCCCGGAAGCACAACGTGTTCATCTACGGTTGCGAGAACAAGCGCGGTCCGGACAAGCAGCTGCAGGAGCAAGTGTTCCCCCTCATGCTTCACAAGAACGCGGCAGATAAGGTAGCATTTGTTCACCAAACGCCCACTTTCGGCAGCCGTATTTTCACTCCGTGTACCTGACGTTGTTGGTGCACCCACCGTTACAGTTCTCGTTTGAAAACTGCAAGTTCCGCATCCAGCGGTCCAAGGAAGGCACGGGCAGAGTGGTGGTCTGGATGATGGGCGTGGCCAACAGCTACACGATGGAGGCTTCGTTCGGCGGGTCCACGCTCGGCTCCAGGGCGGCGACGCACTTCTCGGCGCAGGACTTTGAGAACATGGGTCGCGCCTTCTGCGAGACGCTGCTGGACTTCTGCGACCAGGACCCGAGCAAGGTGACCCGACCCGGAGGATGACAATCGTGATTGGGCGGAGGGGAGGGGCGAGGGGCTGGTG